TAGCCAATCAATACATATTTTATATATACTATATATTGTATTCTTACATAAAGTAAGCTAAATGTCAAGAAAATATTAAATGGATCATTATAAAGGTTTTCACTGTCATCTTCTTCACACTGAATAGGCTCAAGAGGAGGGAGACAAGGGGTTGGTCTTAAGGGTACAAGAGGTAGAGGAGTTGGAAGGGGAGGCAGGAGAGGCTGGCATATGTGGTGTAAATTAAAAAAAAAAAAGAACCCACTTATTTGTGAACCCATGCAGTTCAAACCAACATTGTTCAAAGAGGGTCAACTATAAAATCATTCCACTCCCTGCTCCAAAGCCCCTCTGACATTTATATATATGTGTGTATATGTATGTGTGTGTGTATATGTATGTGTGTGTGTGTGTGTATCTCCATCCTCAGGAATTCCAGAAAAACTGAGGTGAAGGAGTAACAGCTAAGGTGGTAAAGGATTTAGTACTTGCAGGAGGAATGAAAACAGAGAAGAGTAGATAAAGACTGGGGATTCATGTTGATACAATCCCAATAAAAGAAAAAAAAAAAAGACTCTGGGGAATGGCAGCACCCATGACTTGACTCGGAGAGCTCTGTTGTAAATGTGCAGTACCCTACACTCAGGAGAATTAGTGGCAAACCCAATGGTCAAAAGGAGATGAAAAATAAGGTTTAAAAAATGTGGGTGGGGGCTGGGCACAGTGGCTCACACCTGTAATCCGACCACTTTGGGAAGTTGGGTAGGAGAATTCCTTGAGCCCAGGAATTCAAGACCAGCCTGGACAACATGGTGAAACCCCATCTCTAAAAAAATTAGCCAGGCATAGTGGTATATGCCTGCAGTCCCAGCTACTGGGGAGGCTGAGGTGGGAGGATCACTTGAGCCTGGGAGGTTGAGGCTGCAGTGAGCCATGATTGCACTGCTGTACACCAGCCTGGGAACAGAGTGAGACCCTGTCTCCAAAAATATAACAAAGTAAAATTTTAAATGTGAGTGGGAATGCTATAAAAACTAATATGTTCACTAGCCTTATTTATTAGTGATTCTTCTTAAGATTCCACTGAACAGACAGTAATGAAATGAACTGCAAAGAGAGGAGACAACTACAGAAGAGGGATGCTAATGAATCTTCAGGGAGTTAGAAAATGGACGGATAAGCGAAAACTGACTCAGTAGAGTTGGGCAAGTTACAACTTAAGAGCCTGAGGAAGAAATACAAGAAGCAAGTTAATCACCCCACAAAACTTCCCAAGAAAACAGGGGGTCGGTGAGGTTAGGTGAAGTCAGGGGAAGGTCATTACTGAGATATTGGACCCCCAAGTCTCCTCCGCTTTTCTACATCATCAGGTGACTGACTTGCCTGCCCCTAGGAAACTGGAGGTTAATTCTCTGGAAATCAAATAGGCAAGACTCTGGGCCTGAGGAAACAGAGAGGAAAGAGAGCCTGTAATACGACAGGGAGCTAAAGATAGATTAAGGACAAGCTGACATTTTAAACGGTGGGATCTCCAGCCCCTTACAGCTCTGGTTTGAATGTTTGTCCCTCCAAGTAGGAATATGAAACAATGACATATTCAGACACATACGGACTCTAAATTTCAGCTCTCACAGCTGGGTGCAGTGGCTCATGCCTGTAATCCCAATATTTCAGGAGGCTGAGGTGGGCAGATCACCTGAGGTCAGTTCAAGACCAGCTTGGCCAAAGTGGTAAAACCCCATCTCTACTAAAAATGCAAAAAAAATTACACAGGAATGGTAGCAGGTGCCTGTTATCCCAGCTACTCAGGAGGCTGGGGCAGAGAATTGCTTGAACCTGGGGATCAGAGATTGCAGTGAACCAAGATTGTGCCACTGTACTCCAGCCTGGGCGACAGAGCAATTCCGTCTCAAAAAAAAAAAAAAAAAAAAAATTCAGTGTTGATTTCCCTTTGCCAGGGTGCTCATTGGTTTATGCTAAATTTTAAGGAAGTTCTAAACTTAGGGCTAAACTCAGTTGCCTAAACTTAGGGCTAAACTCAGTTGCCTAATCTAGTCTCTGAAGTTCTAGAAATTAGTACTAAAATTAGCCAGGTGTGGTGTTATGTGCCTGTAGTCCCCCCTACTCAGCAGGCTGAGGCAGGAGGAGGGAGACAAGGGGTTGGTCTTAAGGGTAGAAAAGGTAGAGGAGTTGGAAGGGGAGGCAGGAGAGGCTGGCACATGTGGTGTAAATTTGAAAAAAAAAAAAAAGAAGCCGCTTATAAGTGAACCCATGCAGTTCAAACCGATGTTGTTCAAAGAGGGTCAACTATAAAATCATTCCACTCCCTGCTCCAAAGCCCCTCTGACATTTATATATATATATATATGTATATACGTATATATGTATATATGTGTATGTGTGTATCTCCATCCTCAGGAATTCCTGAAAAACTGAGGGGAAGGACTAACAGCTAAGAGTGAAATCATCTCTACTAAAAATACAAAAATTAGCCAAGTGTGGTGGCACGTGCCTGTAGTCCCAGCTACTTGGGAGGCTGAGGCAGAAGAATTGCTTGAACCGGGGAGGCAGAGATTGCAGTGAGCTAAGATCGTACAACTGCACTCCAGCCTGGGCAATAGAGGGACATTCAGTCTCAAAAAAAAAATTATCTCACTAGCCCTTTCTTAGGAAGCCACTAGTGGATTTGCTCTGGCATTTTGAGAGAGCATATCAAAATAAGAGGAAGGTAAAAAATTTAGGAAATAGCAGGCCCCGAAGAGGAGAGAGGAAGAGAAATCCTAGGATAACTGCAAGGGAACTCCGTAGTTATAGCCGTGCAACACACTGGAGGGCAACCAATTCAGATTGGGGCAGAAGGGTGCCTGTAAGTAACCGCTGATACCCAACTAAAAGTGGCTTCAACACTCGAAGTCTGTTATCTCACATAACCAGAAGTGCAAAGTTGGCAACTAAAGGGTTGGTTCATTCACCCTGAATGATATTAGAATTCTGATCTGGCTTCTCTGAATTATCTTGGCTCTTCCTCATAGTGAAAAGATGGCAGATAGAGCTACAAACTTCATGTTCTCTATCAGGTAAAAACCAAGGAGAATTTCTCTTTGAAGCATCCTCCCATGAAGAGAAAAATCTTATCCAGCAACCCCAGATTTCCCCTCAGATTTGACTGGCCAGATGCCATTTTGAAAAGTTTGCTAATAGTGTTTTAATAGTTAATTCCAATGTTCCCTTTATATAACAAACACCGTGGTCATTTGAGTGTTAACAAATGGATCCTGAGGCTTTGCAGGCCAGGCTGGTCTTGAACTCCTGACCTCATGTGATCCACTCGCACTCGCCTTGGCCTCTCAAAGTACTGGGATTACAGGTGTGAGCCACTGTGTCCGTCCCAATATTAAATTTTTGTATTTTTTGTGGAGATGGGGTTTTGTCGTGTTGCCGAGTCTGGTCTCAAACTCCTAGGCTCAAGCAATCACCCGCTTTGGCCTCCTAAAGTGCTAAGAAAATAGGTGTGAGCCACTGTACCTGGCTAGCATTTATAAAAGGAATGATAAAGTATGGGTTCCTATTTCCATCAAAAGAGAACATGGTGGCTAAGGCCTGTAATCCGAACACTTTGGGAGGCCGAGCAGGAGGACAGCTTGAGCCCAGAAGTTTGAGATCAGCCTGGGCAACACAGGGAGCCCTGTATCTAAAAATAGATAAATAATTTCTTTAAAAAAGAGAATACAGTATACAGAGAGAATAAAATGCCTGAGTCTTACTTTTAAAACACTTTAAATGACCTTGCCATTTAAAAAAAAACTTTGTGGCTGGGTGCAGTGGCTTACACCTGTAATCCCAACATTCTGAGAGGCTAAGGTGGGCAGATGACTTAAGGTCAGGAGTTTGAGACCAGCCTGGGCAACATGGTGAAACCCCACCTCCACCAAAAAATACAAAAATTAGCTGGATATGGTTATCTGTACTGGTAGTCCCCAGGTACTCAAGATGCTGAGGCAGGAAAACTGCTTGAACCTGGCAGGTGGAGGTTGCAGTGAGCCAAGATTGTGCCACTGCACTCCAGCCTAGAGGACAGAGTGAGACTCTGTCTCAAAAACAAAAACACTTTCTTATTTAAAAAGGTATGTATTTATATACAAGCTACTTATGCTCTGGGCAGAGAGCTCATATGTAAGTGAAAAGATACTGCTTACCCTGTGTGAAAGCACAACCCGGCTCCTCATGAGTCGAGGCTGGTATGAATCCTTCACCACTCTATACCCAGTATCTGAGAAAAAGCAGGTACTCAAAAGAATTATTAAACAAATTAATATACATATATCCTTATATAAAGAACTAATTACTGAGGTCCCTTGTTGATCTGAGGAGACAAATAGCACTATCACTGGAAGTTTAATGCCAGAAGGTTGTTGGTATGTAGCTACAGGAAGGAAGAAAATCAATACTGGTTAAAGGAAAATTGAAATTTTTTTTTTTGAGATGGAGGATGGAGTCTTGCTCTGTCACCGAGGCTGGAGTGTGGCTCACAGCAACCTCCGCCCCCTGGGTTCAAGTGATTCTTCTGACTCAGCCTCCCAAGTAGCTGAAATTACAAGCACAGGCCACCACACCCAGAAGATTTTTGTATTTTTAGTAGAGATGGGGTTTCACCATGTTGGTCTGGCTGGTCTTGAACTCCTGACCTTGTGATCTGCCCGCCTTGGCCTCCCAAAGTGCTGGGATTACAGGTGTGAGCCACTGCGCCCAGTGAAAATTGAATTTTGCTTCTATTTGTCAAAGTCTGTTTCTATGAAGATATTTTAAAGACATAAAATGCTGTAACACTTTACTATGTTTATGCAAATACACATTTAAGCAATATAGGAAGATTTTTTTTTTTTAAAGGCTAGTCAAGTGAAGCAACGGGAGTGGAGAAGGAACAAAGAAATCTGTAACTGGTTGTGATCAATTAGTTGTAAACACCACTGAACTCAGACCAGCTGCAATATAGTAAAATTTCAATAACCAAACTAACTGTGTAAAAAATAAACAAATTAACTTTATTATGTTACTACTTCAACTTCGGTCCGTACATTTGTTTTTTTTTAAATCCCAGTTTGAAACACATTTTTGAAAGTGAGTATATATAATAAATAGAAAATATGGGTGCACAGTGCTAGAGACGTATCAATCAACTTATCTTCATCTGTTGCCTACTGTTGTAGAAAAATTTTGACACACAATGAGCATTATTGAAAGAGCAGCCAAACTACCTTGGAGAAGGTAGCAAACCACTGGAAAAGTAGCTTAAAGCTCTGGACCACTCACCAAAAAAAAAAAAAAAAAAAATTCAGTGTTTATCTGGGAGCTAACCTCATCATGGCACTGAATTTATCTACTACTCATAAGAACAATTTTTAAAATATCAAAAGTCCCAGGTAACCTTCATTAACATTATTTTTCGTTGTTTTTGGCAACAAAGTCTCCCTCTGTTGCTCAGGCTGGAATGTAGCAGGATGATTTTGGCTCACTGCAACCTCGCCTCCAGGATTCAGGCAATTCTCCTGCCTCAGCCTCCCAAGTAGCTGGGATTATAGGCACCTGCCACCAAGTCCAGCTAATTTAAAAATTTCTAGTAGAGATTGGGTTTTGCCAAGTTGGTCAGGCTGCTCTCAAACTTTTGACCTCATGTGATCTGCCCGCCTTGGCCTTCCAAAGTGCTGGGATTACAGGTATGAGCCATTGCACCTGGCCAATAAACAGTTTTTTAAGTCAAAAGTACCCAGGCTGGAGTCCAGTGGTGCAATCTTGGCTCACTGTAACCTCCCCTTCCTGGGTTCAAGCAATCCTTGTGCCTCAGCCTCCCAAGTAACGTGCCACCACACCCAGTTACTTTTTCTACTTTTAGTATTGATGGAGTTTCACCATGTTGGGCGGGCTGGTCTCAAACTCTTAACCTAAAGTGATCTGCCCATCTCCGCCTCCCAAAGTGCTGGGATTACAAGCGTGAGCCACCGCACCCAGCCCAAAGTTTTTACTTTAAAATACATGATTACTCAAATATCCTAAGCCAGCAGGCCCTATAACAATAAGTTACAAATAGTCTGAATTTAATAACTTAAGTATGATATGGTTAATACAATACATACTGCGTGAATATCTTAACTAATCTCTTTCAGGTAAGGCGATAATTAAAAGGTTTAAATTTACAGTTTCAGCTTCTGCTCAGAAGAATCATGTCAGTATTCTAGCAATGGTGATGACATCCCATTATTGTAAATGCAGAACATAATAATGTCCATATTACTTTGAATTATACTTGATTGAAGAAATAATTCTATGTAAGAGTCTATATTCTATGTGCAAAGTTTCAATGGTGCAGGTTTATAACCAAAGCTGTGTTTAACAATGCTTTCTGGCTTCCAAAAAACATATGAAAATACTTCCTAAAAGTGAACAAACTAAAGCCAGAAGTAGGTGACACCAGTTGTTCTTTCCATTTATGTGTGATGGACTTCATGAAGCATTAACTCCCGAGGTATATTTGTTTCTGGACCATAGAGCTTACATGCTCTTCTTTCAAAGGCGGCTACCATCTGCTTTACAACTTCATCAAAAAACAATGTGGCAAGCTGAGAATGTAGAAGTGATCGAAATTCAAAAGAAATCTGTAGAAAAAGATTGAAAATTATTTTAGAACAAATTATTTTTTGCATTTTTGTTTTCCTAGAGACAGAGTCTCGCTTGTTGCCCAGGCTGTAGTGTAGTGGCATAATCACGGCTCACAGCAGCCTCTACCTCCTGGGTTCAAGCAATCCTCCTACCTCTGTCTCCCGAGTACCTGGGACTACAGGCACATGCCACCACACATGGCTAATTTTTTTTTTTCAGAGAAGGGTTTTTGCCATGTTGCCCAGGCTGGTTTCAAACTTCTGGGCTCATGTGATCTGCCAACCTCAGCCTCCCAAAGTGTTGTGAAGACAGGCATGAGCCACTGCACCCAGCCAAAAAGGTTATTTTTTTCTTTTGAGACCAAGTCTCACTCTGTTACCCAGGCTGGAGTGTAGTGGCATGATCTTAGCTCACTGCAACCTCTGCCTCCTGGATTCAAGTGATTTTCCTGCCTCAGCCTCCCAAGTAGCTGGGACTACAGGTGTGTGCCATCACACCTGACTAATTTTTTGTATTTTTAGTAGAAATAAGTTTTCACTGTGTTAGCCAGGATGATCTCAATCTCCTGACCTCATGATCCGCCTGCCTCAGGTTCCCAAAGTGCTGGGATTACAGGTGTGAGCCACTGCTCCTGGCCTGTCCTTTTTTTTTTTTTTTGAGACAATGTCTCACTCTGTCACCCAGGTTGGAGTGCAGTGGCATGATCGCCGATCACTGCACAATGTCTGCCTCCCATGTTCAAGTGATTCTCCTGCCTCAGCCTCCTGAGTAGCTGGGACTATAGGAACACACCACCATACCCAGCTAATTTCTGTATTTTTTAGTAGAGATGGGTTTTCGCCATGTTGGCCAGGCTGGTCTAGAACTTCTGAACTCAAAGTGAAACACCTGCCTCGGCCTCCCAAAGTGCTGGGATTACAGGTGTGAGCCACTGTGCTTGAGCCTAACTGTTCTAGTATTGTCTATAATGCTTTAACGAAAATTACTCCAGAGTTGAGAATAGCACACAATAATTTAGTCAAAATTGTCACCATTTCCTAAAATTCAATGCCTGAGTTGCATGTAGAGAAAACAACTCCCATATTACCTGTTGGCAAAGAAAATGCCACAAATGGCTTTAAGTTGTCTATAACTAAGATTATATATATATATAAAAGAAAGTTACTAGGCTGGGTGCGGTGGCTCATGCCTGTAATCCCAGAAGTAGGCGGATCTCCTGAGCCCAGGAATTGGAGACAAGCCTGGGCAACATGGCGAAACCCTGTCCCTACAAAAAATACAAAAATAAGCCTGTGTGGTACTGCACTCCTATAGTCCCAGCTACTTGGGAGGTGGAGGTGGGAGGATTGCTTGAGACAGGGAAGCAGAGGTTGCAAGGAGTCAATACTACACCACTGGACTCCAACCTGAGTGACAAGGTGAGGCTCCATCTCAAAGAAAAAAAAAAAAAGGAAAGAAAAGAAAGTTAGCAGACTCTAGATTCAAAAAATGTATTTTTCCCTTTGTACTTTATTTCTGCACCTTTTATTTATATTTTTATTAAAGTGAAAGCAAGTTCATTTGGAAAATAAAGGAACAAAAGAATGGCTACTCCACAGACAGAGTAGCATGCATCTTTATTTTTAAATTAAATTACGGCCGGGCCTGGTGGCTCAAGCCTGTAATCCCAGCACTTTGGGAGGCTGAGGCGGGTGGATCACGAGGTCAAGAGATAGAGACCATCCTGGTCAACATGGTGAAACCCTGTCTCTACTAAAAATACAAAAAATTAGCTGGGCATGGTGGTGCGTGCCTGTAATCCCAGCTACTCAGGAGGCTGAGGCAGGAGAATTGCCTGAACCCAGGAGGTGGAGGTTGCGGTGAGCTGAGATCATGCCATTGCACTCCAGCCTGGGTAACAAGAGTGAAACTCTGTCTCAAAAAAAAAAATTAATTAAAAAAAAAAAATTAAATTACATTTTTTTGAGACAGGGTCTCACTCTGATACCCAGGATGGAGAGCAGTGACATTATCATAGTTCACTGCAAGTTGGAACCCTTGGACTCATGCAATCGGACTACTGGTGGGCACCACTACACAGGCCTAATTTTATTTTTAGTAGAGACAAAGTCTCACTGTCTTCTCCAAGCGGGTCTCAAACTCCTGAACTCAAGCAGTCCTCCTGCCTCAGACTCCCAAGTGCTGGGATGCCAGGCATGGACTGCTGTACCTAGCCTGTTTCTGCATCGAATATGCAATGTGTTCTTTCATTTCGTGTTAATTTAAAACTATTATTAAGTTCAAAACTGTTATTAAGCTGGTAGTAAAGTCATGGCATGAGTCTTATTATCTATAGATTTATAAAAAACAAAGTAGAGGATGAAGGAGTACTCAAGGTTGCATGAAATAGAATAAAAAAGAAATGCTCATTAGCATTTATGCAGAAAAAGGTATTCAATGTAATTATGGCCTCTGTGTTCTAAAAAATAATTACGTTTTTACCAACTTTACCTCATATGTGGAACAAATCAAGGGCTTTATAGAGACTTACTGAAAAATCCAAGGTACAAGTTCTTGGGTAGCCAGGAAGACCTGGACTAAAACGCCAAATAGTCTCCAAGTGCTTGAAAAGTCTCCCATCAGTACAAGATGCCTAGAACAAAATGAAACAATGAAACCACAGTTAAATACCTTTGCTTCTGGCCAGAATCTGTATGATTGAAGCTTATTTCTTTCATAAGTAATAATTTTTATACATCAGATCATAGGAGATAAAGATATCTAATTTTTGCTTGGTACTAGGAAGTAATATATCTTGCCAATACTAGCCATTTTTTCTTCCTGCAGGGATCGCCAAGATTGCCAGTTGTTTTCTCTTCCATTGTTAACACCTGCCTTGCTACTTAGATTTCCTTCCTCTAGCAGCAAAACAGGGTGTTTTTTGGAAGCTTATTTCCAGTTCTGCCACATATAAGTGATCATGAACAAGTTAACTCCCATACACAATCTCCTTAATCTGCAAAATAATACCTACTTTGTATCATGAGATTGTCAAAATGTTAATAAGGTACCTGGTACAGATTCCTAGCACAATTACATAATTCTCTCCTACTCAAAGACTGATCTCTTATTAATCACATATAGTCTTTCCTTCAATCTGCTCCTTATTATTAGAGGCCTCTGTCTAGTTTCCTTAAATGTGTAGTCCTGGCCCTTGGCCCTGATCCATTTCTGTCTTATTTTTTCCAGTACACATGTATATTTTATATTCAGGACGCACACACTGAATCACATTACTTAACCATACTATGTGCAGTGCATCTTGGTATTTCCCATTTTGTATCATTAAAAAAGTACTTATTGTGGCTGATGTGGTAGCTCACACCTGTAATCCCATCACTTTGGGAGGCCAAGGTGGGAGGATCACTTGAGCTCAGGAGTTCAAGGCTGCAATGAGCTATGATTATGCCACTGCACTCTAGCCTGGGCAACAGAACGAGATTCTCTGACTCTTCGAAAAAATTAAAAAATTAGCCAGGTGTAGTGATGCATGCCAGTAGTTTCAGGTACCCAGGAGGCTGAGGTGAGGAAACTGTTCGAGTCCAGGAGACTGAGGCACCAGTAAGCTATAATTATGCCACTGAACTCCAGCCTAGGTGACAGAGTGAGACACTGCCTTTGTTTTTTTGAGATGAAGTCTTGCTCTATCACCAGGCTGGAGTGCAGTGCCACAATCTCAGCTAACTGCACCATCCACCTCCTGGTTTCAAGCGATTCTCCTGCCTCAGCCTCCTGAGTAGCTGGGACCACAGGCACGTACCACCATGCCTGGCTATTTTTTGTATTTTTAGTAGAGACAGGGGTTTCACCATGTTGGCCAGGATGGTCTTGATCTCTTGACCTCGTGATCCGCCTGCCTCGGCCTCCCAAAGTGCTGGGATTACAGGCATGAGCCACCACACCTGGCATTTTTTTTTTTTTTTTTTTGAGATGGAGTTTTGTTCTTGTTGCCCAGGCTGGAGTGCAATGGCCCATCTCAGCTCACTGAAAGCCCTGCCTCCCAGGTTCAAGTGATTCTCCTGCCTCAGCCTCCTGAGTAGTTGAGATTTCAGGTGCCCACCACCATACCCAGCTAATTTTTCTATTTTCAGTAGAGACAGGGTTTTGCCATGTTAGGCTGGTCTTGAACTCCTGACCTCAAGTGATCCACCAGCCGTGGCTTCCCAAAGTGCTGGGATTACAGACATGAGGCACTGTGCCCGGCCTAGAGACACCGTTTAAAAAAAAAAAATTATTGAGACCCATGAAAGAGTTGCCATCTGCAATGTGAAAATGGTAACCAGAACCATAGTTACTAGTTCATTGTTAGGACTGATTATGCTGGTTATGACCTTGAGTGGCGCTCAGCTTTTTACTTGGTTTCCTACCTCAGCCTCCCAAATAGCTGGGACCACAGGTGTGTGACACCATGCCCAGCTAATTTTTAAAATTTTTTGTAGAGCTGGGTTCTTTCTCTGTTGCCCAGGCTGGTATTGAACTCCTGGGCTAAGAGAACCCCCTGTCTTGGCCTCCCAAAGTGCTAGAATTACAGGCATGAGCCACCTCACCTGCACAAATAATCCAGCGTATTCCTGAAGTGCACAAGTAATTTTTAAGAGCATCAAGATTATACAATAAAATCTTATTTCAGTTGTCCAACTTTAGGATAATACATTCTGCCCTTCTTTACAATCATTTAAGAAGTTTAAGGCTGGGCGTGGTGGCTCACGCCTATAATCCCAGCACTTTGGGAGGCCGAGGTGGGTGGATCATGAGGTCAAGAGATCGAGACCATCCTGGTCAACATGGTGAAACCCCGTCTCTACTAAAAATACAAAAAATTAGCTGGGCATGGTGGCACGTGCCTGTAATCCCAGCTACTCAGGAGGCTATGGCAGGAGAATTGCCTGAACCCAGGAGGTGGAGGTTGCAGTGAGCCGAGATCGCGCCATTGCACTGCAGCCTGGGTAACAAGAGTGAAACTCCGTCTCAAAAAAAAAAAAAAAAGTTTATAGGAAATTTAACACTAAAGGAGAAACAGGTTTTGGGAGTACTCACTATAACACAGCACCTTCCTCTCATTATTTTTATGCAAATCTGGCAATATTTCATGCACTCCAATTATCTAGCTCAAGGATGCATGGATTTTTACTGTTATGTTTTGACAGGAACAGTATTGCCAAAGACCTCATTTCTAAGAGCAGAGATACTGAACAGTAGAAGCTGTCATGATGATGACCTACTACAGGCTGTTCTGGGTGAGCTGACATAGACCATTATATAAACTAATCCATACGAAATGTTTATATCATGAACCAGGCAGTAAGATTCACTGAACTGTTGCCTCTCTAAAAATATGCAAGGGCTTCTGGCCATTAAAAATTTGTATAGACTAGAATTACTGACATATTAAGTGACAAGCATGTTTTGGTCAGCTAATAATTCACAGAAAATGTCACGTGGCTTCTGTTCTTTTCTTATAATAATTTTTATAGTATTGGGTATATTATCTATTGGATATTGAAATTCAGAACCTGGTCAGATTCTGATTACACAGTGGCCTGTAATCCCAACACTTTGGGAGGCCAAGGTGGGTGGATCACCTGAAGTCAGGAGGTCAAGACCAGCCTGACCAACATAGAGAAACCCCTTCTCTACTAAATACAAAAAAATTACCCGGACATGGTGGTGCATGCCTGTAATCCCAACTACTTGGGAGGCTGAGGCAAGAGAATCTCTTGAACCTGGGAGGCAGAGGTTGCAGTGAGCCGAAATCGCGCTATTGCACTCCAGCCTAGGCAGTAAGATGGAAACTCCACATCAATAATAATAATAATAATAAATAACACTAAACAGATAAATAAAATCCAGAACCTAGCCTGGACACCATTGCACTCCAGCCTGGTCAACAAGCGATTCTCCTGCCTCAGCCTCCTGAGTAGCTGCGATTACAGGTGTGTACCACCATACCGGGCTAATTTTTGTAATTTTTAGTAGAGATGGGGTTTCATCATGTTGACCAGGCTGGTCTTGGAACTCCTGACATCAGGTGATCCACCTCTCTTGGCCTCCCAAAGTGCTGGAATTACAGGCGTGAGCCACCGCACCCAGCCTATTCATTTGTTTTTCAGAGATGAAGTTTTACTGGCTATGTTGCCCAGGCTGGAATGCAGTAGCTGCTCATAGGCATGATCATTGTACATTACAACCTCAAACTCCTGGGCTCAAGCAACCCTTCTGCTTCAGCCTCCTGAGTAGCTGGGATTACAGGTGCATGCCTGTAATCACACCTAGTTTACCCTGTAGGTTTTAAGAAGGCAGGGGAGACAGGATGGGTGTAGTGGTTCACACCTGTAATCCTAGCCTTTTAGGAGGCCAAGCCAGACAGACCACCTGAGGTCAGGAATTCAAGACCAGTCTGGCCAATATGGAGAAACCCCATCTCTACTAAAAATACAAAAATCAGCCAGGCATGGTGGCGCAAGCCTGTAATCTCAGCTACTTGGGAGGCTGAGGCAGGAGAATCACTTGAACCTGGGAGGCAGAGGTTGCAATGAGCTGAGATTGCACCGCTGCACTCCAGCCTGGGCGACAGAGCAAGACTCTGTCTCAAAACAAAAACAAACAAACAAACAAACAAAAAACAAGGCAGAGGAGGGAAGAAAGGTAGAGTGAGGAAGAAATGAGATTTATTTAGAGTTCTTTCAGTTAGAAGCAGCATAATATATTAAGATTTAAGTTCTAAGAGACTGAATGGTAAACTGAGCTCAGGAAATAGAAAAAAATTAAAATTATAGAAATATTCACTGGTGTCAGACAGCTGGAGTCTTGGCTCTGTGACCTTGAGCAAGTTCTCTATCTCTTCTAAGCCTCAGTTTGCTCAACTCTAAAATAAATAACTCTTGAACCTCAAAGGGCTGTTGTGAAAACTTGAGTAATTCAGGTAAAGAAGTAAAAGGGCTCAATAAATGTTGGCTATTATGAGAGACAATAGTTTAAAAACTCTAAAACAATGAGGCAAGCAGGTCAAAACATTTGTAATAATAGCAAAATCCTAGTCCACAGCATTTTAAGTGGAATTCAAGTTTTGAGGCTAAGAAGAGGGCAGACTCTAGGGTCTTAGCCTCACTGGACAGTGACAGTGTTGTCTTTCTCTTTCTAGCTGCACCAGAAAGAGCATACTGAGAGCTGCACCCCCTTCAATGTCTAACACAGAGCTGACTAAGGTATTTAGCTCTGGCCAGTTACCAAGAAATGATATCATCATTAAATCCTGTGGGCAAAGTAACTCAGCTTTAAAGACCGTTGGCCACTCCAAAACAGGAATGTAAAATAAATATGCATTATTCCATGGAATTCTGCCTTTTTGTTTTTAAGGTTGGTACCCTTTTCTACACATATATCCTCCTCTGACAAGCATAAGATGATTAACATAATGTAAGAGTGCGTGGCATTTCAGCACCCAGTACTTGGCAGGATATCCTCAACAATATTTATGCATACATATTTTTTGAGACAGAGTCTCACTCTGTTGCCCAGGCTGGAATGCAGTGGCGAAATCTTGGCTCACCACAACCGCCACCTCCCAGGTTCAAGCAATTCTCTGCCTCTGCTTCAGCCTCTGGAGCAGCTGAGATTCCAGACACCTGCCACCATGCCCACCTAATTTTTGTATTTTTATTAGGGACAGGATTTCACCATGTTGGCCAGGTTGGTCTTGAACTCCTGACCTTGTGATCCACCCACTTCAGCCTCCCAAAGTGCTGGGATTACAGGTGTGAGCCACCAAGCCCAGCCGATTTTTTTTTTTGAGATGGCATTTCATTCTTGTCACCCAGACTGGAGTGCAGTGGTGTGATTTCGGCTCACTGTAACCTCTGCCTCCTGGGTTTAAGTGATACTCCTGCCTCAGCCTCCTAAGCAGCTGAAATTGCAGGTACCTGCTACCACACCTGGCTAATTTCTTTGAGTTTTAGTAGAGATGGGGTTTCACTATGTTGGCCAGGCTGATCTCGAACACCTGACCTCAGGTGATCCACCTGCCTTGGCCTCCCAAAGTAGCTAGGATTACAGGTGTGAGTCACTGCACCCTGACAATATTTTTATATTTATACCTTTTCTTTTAGTTTTTATTCTTTTTTGACACAGGGCCTCACTCTGTTGCCCAGGCTGAAGTGCAGTGGCAAAATCACAGCTCTCTTCTGCCTCAACTTCTTGGGTTCTCATCTCAGCCTCCTGACGTATCTTTTTTTTTTTTTTTTTGAGACGGAGTCTCACTCTGTCGCCCAGGCTAGAGTACAGTGGCATGATCTCAGCTCACTGCAACCTCCACCTCCTGGGTTCAAGCAATTCTCCTGCCTCAGCCTCCTGAGTGGCCAGGATTACAGGCATTGCCACCACGCCTGGCTAATTTTTGTATTTTTAGTAGAGATGGGGTTTCACCACATTGGTCAGGCAGGTCTTGAATTCCTGACCTCATGATCTGTCCACCTCGGCCTCCCAAAGTGCTGGGATTACAGGGCCTCCCAAAGTGCTGGGATTACAGGCGTAAGCCACTGTGCCTGGCCTGTATCTTTTTTACCTTTCTTTATCCTCTCACCACTTTTTTTCCCCTCCCTCTTCCCCACCATTCCTTCTTTAATTTAAAAAAATATGTATTTAGTAAACAAATTTATTCTTCCCCCAATGCTAAAGTATTTAATTCATACTTTAAAACAGGGCAAAAATTAAATTAAAACATTTCCCACTTAGATGGCCCAACTCAACTGTCCTGTGGGTCAATAGTCCTCAACAGAAGGGGGAAAAAAAAAAGGAAAAGTTTCCCACTTCCATATTATATTCTAACTTCTATTTGGAAAGAATACTGCTAATATTGTATAAAGTAACACAGGAGACATAATAAATAATTTTTTCCCCCTCTTCCTATTAGCTCAAACAAAATTTATTTTAGGCTATTACATTTTAACCCATTTGACAGAGTTAATATTTGGAGGAATACTTAAAAACAACAAAAAACAAAACTATTACCTTTACTAAATGAGGCTTCACCAAGGTTACTACTGATGTATATCGCTCCAATACAGGTGGAAATCCAATTTCTAATCGTGTTTTACAATATCCAGATCTCTTTGATAAAACATCTGATCTTTTGCACCAAGGAACGAAATGCTTGTAATCCTCCATACCCGATACTACGTCATACATTTCCTGCATTGAATATCTTAAAAAAAAAAGAGGTGTTAACTCCATTTAGTTATATGGTATATGCATACTTTAAAGTGAATGTGAATAAAACTTACTGTGTATGATAAACAAATCTCAATACTTATGTTGAACCACATTCTGGAATCAATGACTTCAAAGCAACACAGAAAATAAAAGGTCTCTAAATAAACATATATATGGCAGAGATCATAATTTGGTATCGCACAGGTTAAAACTGATCTAAAGAGGTAGTTTTTAAAATTTTACTAGCCAGAATTTAAAAATTGAGAATATGGTCAGGCACAGTGGCTGGGGAAGCTGAGGCAGGCGAATCACCTGAGGTCAGGAGTTGAGGCCAGCCTGGCCGACATGGTGAAACCACATCTCTACTAAAGATACAAAAATTAGCCACGTGTGGTGGCACATGCCTGCAATCCTAGCTACTCGGAGGCTGAGACATGAGATTTGCTTGAACCCAGGAGACGGAGGTTGCAGTGAGCCGAGATCATGCCACTGCACTCCAGCCTAAGCTATAGAGTGAGACCCTGTATCCTCTCCCTCACGTCTGTCTCTCTCTCTCTCACACACACACAAAGCAGACTAAATCACTATCTTTTTAGTTGCCATTTCTCTCTCTCTCTCTTTTTTTTGAGATGGAGTCTTGCTCTGTTGCCAGGTTGGAGCACGGTGGCACAAGCTTGGCTCACTGCAACCTCTGCCTCCCGGGTTCAAGCGATTCTTCCACCTCAGCCTCCCAAGTAGCTGGGACTACAGGCGTGTGCCACTATGCCCAGCTAATTTTTGTATTTTTAGTAGAGACAGGGTTTCACCTGTTGTTCAGGATGGTCTTGATCTATTGACCTCGTGATCTGCCCACCTCAGCATCCCAAAGCGCTGGGACTACAGGCGTGAGCCACCGTGCCTGACCGCCATTTCTCTTTTTAACAGGTAACACCTGTGGCAATGATGTCTATCCAGATTTGCACTCCTTTTACATGATACTGTTGCTAAAAAGTACCTGCCCATCAGAAGCAACAATTCCCAGTCCCCATTCCCCTTGCATTTAGATGGGTCACAACTAGCCTTTGCTAGTAGTATCTGGGAGGAGGTGTTGTGTGTCAATTCCAGATCAATGTGATTAACACTCTGAAGACTAAGTAATTACAGAGGTCAAAAGTGGGATGGAGCCTGGTTTCTGAGTTACTACTTGAACTGGAGTAGAGGGAACACCCATTTGAACTCTACATAAGAAAAAAAACTCTTGAGTATTATCTATATGGCTGTTAGCATTACCTTAACTATTACAGAGACTAGTTAGTAATAAAGTCAAACTTAAAGAACAATGCTGTTAAGTCTTTTACTATAGAAAAATAAGAACAAAAGCTAATAAGTAAAATTAATGAAAGGTACTTTTACAAAGCTTCATGTAATACTTAATGGCCAATTGGGAATTAAGAGCTACTTGTAGAAATTCCCCTAAGGAGGGATGGTATATTTCTGGTTTAGCAGAACTGTAGTGTCTTTATCATCTGCTCTATTTACCCCTAGATCAGGGCCAAACCTGGTCCATCATCTGTTTTTGTAAATAAAGTTTTACTGGAATGTGGCCACACCCATTTATTTACATATTATCTATATTTGCCTTTGGACTACAGTGACATGGCTGAGAAGTCCCTATGGCCCACAAAACCTAATATAGTTACTCTTTGTCCCTTTACAGAAACAGTTTACCAAAGACTCTAGATGAGGAGCTTTAGTATGTATGTACTTATATATGTATGTCTGTACATGAAGAAGCTATCTAAACATATGGCCCAATGTATCAGTAATGTTGCTACTATAGAATAGAACAATGTACAAAAAAATGTAGATCATAATTTTCTTTACATGTCAAAGATTTAAGTCTATACTAAAAAGTTACCATATAATTATATTCATTCAACAAATATTTGTAAAATAGCAAAGGCTATGAAAAGGCCAAACTAGGCTGAGAGTGGTGGCTCACACCTATAACCAGAACTTTGGGAGGCCGAGGCAGGTGGATCACAAGGTCAGGAGTTTGAGACCAGACTGGCCAACGTAGTGAAACACCATCTCTACTAAAAATACAAACATTAGCCAGGCATGGTGGCACACGCCTGCTACTCAGGAGGCTGAGGCAGGAGAATCGCTTGAACCCAGGAGATGGAGGTTGCAGTGAGCCAAGACTGCACCACTGCACTCAAGCCTGGGTGACAGAGCAAGACTCCATCTCAAAGCAAACAAAAAAGAAAAAGGCCAACCTAGAAAAAACAGAGTTAGTCTGCAAGAAGATAATCCAGAGAGAAAGAGGCAGGATATCCCACAGAAAATTATGAAGATGCTCTTTTAGTAGAATTCTTATCATATACAAACCCTAAAATTCTTCTCTCTGAATATTCTTTCCTTTTGTTTATTAATGGTGCAGCAATTTTGAAGAAAGATCTTGCACATATTTCCTTAGGCAAAACTGAGGTATGTAGTGGAAGAGTTCTGCTCATCAGTATACCACAAGAAGCTAAATATCTGAAAAGACAAAAAAATTACCTGACTTAGAGTGACAGTAAAAATTAAGAGGAAGCACAAATCAGAGAGACTGTAAAGTAATTATCACACTTCAGAAGGCTTTGCAACTTCAGGATGTTATTGAAAAAAATACACACACACAGGCACAGAAAAAGTATAGCTTCTTAAGCACTATAAAAAAGAAAACCCTAAAAACAGCTTAGTTAGGGGCCGGGCGCGGTAGCTCAAGCCTGTAATCCCAGCACTTTGGGAGGCCGAGGTGGGCGGATCACGAGGTCAAGAGATCAAGACCATCTTGGTCAACATGGTGAAACCCCGTCTCTACTAAAAATACAAAAAATTAGCTGGGCATGGTGGCACGTGCCTGTAATCCCAGCTACTCAGGAGGCTGAGGCAGGAGAATTGCCTGAACCCAGGAGGCAGAGGTTGTGGTGAGCCAAGATTGTGCCATTGCACTCCAGCCTGGGTAACAAGAGTGAAACTCCATCTCAAAAAACAAACAAAAAAAAAAACAGCTTAGTTAGGTTAGAAGCTTTTGGCATAAAAGGTATCTCTCTCAGAAAGTTGGCTTTCACTCTAGAGTCATGTGTTACAATTTACTATTGCCATAAGCTTTGCTAGATACACAAGTCTATTGTCCAATTTGTGTTGTCTACCCATGTTGTTTTCCCAGCTGGATCCATAGATGTTTCTTAATTCTTGATCCACCCCAGTGAGACTTAAAATTAGGTCTCAAATCTCTTGGCAGAGATCTGGTGGTCCTGTCAGTACTGACGCCAGGTATGGTGGCTCAATCCTGTAATCCCAGTGCTTTGGGAGGCTGATGCATAAGAATCCCTTGAGGCCAAAAGTTTGTGACCAGCCTGAGCAACATAGTGAGCCTGTCTCTACAAAAAAAAAAAAAAATGAGCCGGGCATGGTAACATATGCCTGTACTTCCCATTACTCAGGAAGCTGAGGCAGCAGGATCACTTGAATCCAGGAGTTTGAAATTGCAATGAGCTATGAACACACCACAGCACTGCAGCATGGGTTAAGACTCTGTCCCAAAAAAACAAACGCTGCTCTGTTACTCCTTTACCTCCCAGTCTCCATGTCAATGCACATATGTAAAAATATGTCTAGTTAACTAGAATGTTAATGCTCGAGGTTCTATGTACAACTGCCTAATATATGCTACCTAAGTATTTTAAATTTTCTCTAATAAGATTATTACATAACTGACTGGGTGTGGTGGCTCATGCCTGTAATCCCAGCACTTCTGGAGGCAGAGGCAGGAGGATCACAAGTCAGGAGATTGAGACTATCTCCTGATAGTCTCTACTAAAGATACAAAAAATTAGCTGAGCATGGTGGCACGTGCCTGTAGTCCCCTTTACTCAGGAGGTTGAGGCAGGAGAATCACTTGAACCCAGGAGGCAGATGCTGCAGTGAGCTTAGATCACGCCACTGGACTCCAGCCTGGGTGACAGAGCGAGATTCCGTCTCAGAAAAAAAAAAAAAAAAGATTATTACATAAGTATTTGATACTACTAGTCATTGCTGGCCAGGATTATTCAATTTAAATTATCCACACGCTTACTGAGCTCCTATTCTGTGTCAGACTATGCTAGGTAATAAGGATATAATAATGGTGACTAGAACAAACATAAGCCTTATGAAGACTGCATTCTAGTTGAAGATTCAAGAAAGTACTGAAGAAGAAATGGGGGTAGAAGGAAGGTGATTAGGACCTTATTTAGACAGGCTGACCTAGGAATCCCTTAAGAGATTTCGGCTGAGAAATAATGGACAAGGAGTTAGCCACGCAAAGAGAAAAAAGAAGTATGTACACACGTAATAACTATGTTTGTGTACGTATATGTGAATACACATAGGCATTAGTAGGATTTAATGCCTCACTCCATTTATTATATATTTGAATACATATACATATATAGACCACACCAGTGCACTCCAACCTGGGTGACAGCAACTCTCCATCTCAAAAAAAAAAAAAAAGGAAAAAGGCCAGGTGCTGTGGCTCAAACCTGTAATCCCAGCAGTTTGGGAGGCTGAGACAGGCAAAATGCCTGAGCTCAGGAGTTCAATACCAGCCTGGGCAAGATGGTGAAACCCTGTCTCTACTAAAATACAAAAAAATCAGCCAGAGGTGGTGGCAGGCATCTGTAATCCCAGCTACTCAAGAGGCTGAGGCACAAGAATTGCTTGAACCCAGGAGGCGGAGGTTGCAGTGAGCCAAGATCACTCCACTGCACTCCAGCCTGCGCAACAAAGCGAAACTCTGTCTCCAAGAAAAAGAAATATGACCCCAAAATGTAAAACAAAATCTCAACTGGAGGGAGACAAATTTGGGCTCTATAATACAATAAAGAACTTTGCAGCTGTTTATAAAAATTGAACAGGCTTATTACACAGAAAATCAAATAGAGGTCAATGAATTTGCTTTAGCTAAATACTACATGACTATTTGTTAAAATGTAATGGAAAAGAAACATAAACTGTATATAGGTGAACTTATTAGGTGCTTTTAAGATTCTAAGATTCTTACATTTTCAGCTATAAGTAACACTTCAAGCATGAAAATATAAAAAAGCAATATGGCTTTGTGAATTCTAAATTTTCTGGGACACCACAAGTAGTAGTTGATTTTATAATAACAGTAAGAGCATAATTCTATGTTTCAATATATACAATGCATAGTGATCAGATCAGGGTAATTAGCACATCCATCATCTCAAACATTCATCATTTCTTTGCATTGGGAACATTCAGTATCTTCCTTCTAGCTATCTGAAACTATCTATTAGTGTTAACCACAGTCATCTTACAATGGTATAGAAGACGAGTCCCCAACACCCAGGTCTGTTAGGAACCAGGCTGCACAGCAGGAAGTGAGCATTACAGCCTGTCACATCAGCGGTGGCATCAGATTCTCATAAGAGCCAGAACTCTATTGCGAACTGTGCATGCGAGGAATCTAGGTTGTTTGCTCCTTCTGAGAATCTAACTAATGCCTGATGAGCTCAGGTGAAATAGTTTCATCCTGAAACCATCTCCCACCACCATCCCCATTTGTGGAAAAACTGTCTTCCATGAAACTGGTCTCTGGTGCCAAAAAGGTTGGGAACCGTGGGTACAGAACACTAGAAACATATTCCTCCTATCTAGCATTAATTTTGTATCCTTTAACAAATCTCAAGGCCAGGCGTGGTGGCTCACCCCTGTAATCCTAGCACTTTGGGAGGCCGAGGTGGGTGGATCACCTGAGGTCAGGAGTTCAAGACCAGCCTGGCCATCATGGAGAAACCCCATCTTTAAAAAAAAAAAAAAAAAAAAAAGTTCTCCCTATCTATTCCTTCCTCCCAGCTTTCCCAATCTTTAGTATCATCTGTTCTACTTTTTTACTTCTATGAGATCAACTTTTTTTAGCTTCCACATGAGAGAGAACTCACAATGTCTAACTTTCTGTCCCTGGCTTGTTTCACTTAACAAAATGTCCTCCAAGTCCATCCATGTTGCTGCAAACAACATGGCCTTCATTCTTTTTTAATGGCTGAATAGTATTCCCATTGTGTATTAATATATATACCACATTTTCTTTATCCATTCATCTGTTTTGTTGTTGTTTTGTTGTTGTTGTTGTGTCTGAGTCAGGGTCTCACTCTGTCATGCAGACTGGAGTGCAGTGGCACAGTCACGACTCACCACAGCCTCTGCTGCCTGGGTTCCAGCAATTCTCCCATCTCAGGTTCCAAGTAGCTGGAACCACAGGCACATGCCACCAAGCCCTGCCAATTTTTTACTTATATGTAGAAGCGAGGTCTTCCTATGTTGCTCAGGCTGGTCTCAAACTCCTGAGTTTAAGTGATCCTCCTGCCTCAGCTTCCCAAAGTGTTGGGATTACAGGTGTGAGCCACTGTGTCCAGCCTTGTTTGTTTTTTGAGACAGGGTCTGGCTCTGTTGCCCAGGTATGAGTGCAGCGGCCCAATCAAGGCTCACAGCAGTCTCAACCTCCTGGGCTCAAATGTTCCTCCCACCTCAGACTCCTCAGCAGCTGGAACCACAAGCTTGCACTACCACACAGCCAGTTAATTTTTCTACATATATGTATGTGTATACACACACACACACACACACACACACAGCTAATTTTTCTATATATGTATGTGTATAAACACACACATATATTTTTTGGTAGAGACAAGGTTTTGCCACGTTGTCCAGGCAGGTTTCATGACTTTAGGTAATCCTTCTGCCTCAGCCTCCCAAAGTGCTGGAATTACAGGCGTGAGCCACTGCACCCAATCCCATTCATCTGTTGTTGGACACCTGTTGATTCCGTATCTTGGCTACTGTGAATAGTGCTGAAACCTTTACTTGAAAAAAGATAAGACCTTTGCTTCTAAAGAGGTGAACTGGGTATCTGGTTGACTTTTTACTATATATAAAGGTTAATGTATTTACTGGTAGTCAATACATGAACCTGGTACAAAGATTCATGTATTGCTTCCCAACCTACCAAAAAAATACCCTTACACAATCTGATTACAATCCTAAGGAAAACACCTGTCTTTAAAGCAAACTAATAGGAAATTTTCTGATCAATTTGCATGCTATAGTTGCAGTGCCCTGGACAGCACATCTATTTTTATGCACTGTCAGGAATACTATGTCTTTTTTTTTTTTTTTTTTTGAGACGGAGTTTCGCTGCTGTTACCCAGACTGGCGTGCAATGGCACGATCTCGGCTCACTGCAACCTCCGCCTTCTGGGTACGAGCAATTCTGCCTCAGCCTCCCGAGTAGCTGGGACTACAGGCGCGCACCACCATGCCCAGCTAATTTTTGAGGAATACTGTCTTAAACTACGATACGAGGAGACAGACATTCATATACACAGTTAAAGCAAGAAATCAATACTGGACCACTGGACCACATGGAGAATAGCTTTTTTTGTCATTCATCTTCCAGTACTGCTATCTCAAATACTTAACTATAATTAATAAAGGTCAGCATCTGATGCTTTACACTGGAAATGAACTCGAACTGCCTCCCTCATTATTATAAACAGTATCTATCTTGGAACTGAAACCTCAATTTAATCACTAAAGCAACTGTATTTTTTTCAAACTAACAGTTTTGTTCACTTGAAAGACATTTTATAAGAGTAATACAAACAGATCTGAAGTATGATGGGTTTATTCTGCTTGAAACTACTTTTTGAGGTTATTTCCTAAAGCAGGCGCAATTTTATGATTTTATTTGTCTCATCCAACATTTGTCTAAAGGAATTTGGCTTTGGTAAGGTTGTTTTTAAAAATTCTTCACTGAATTTTTAAAAATGTTTTTATTTCCTCGATTCCAGGAGGGTTGGATCTTCATTTAATCTAAAAGTCCTGGGGCTCAACCAGATTTGTTTTCTCTCCTCACTTTGTACATGTGAATTCATTTTAAACACACTAAGTTTGATTTGCAGGAATATTACAATGTTACTAGTAAACAGAAACTAAGTCCTACAAGTATGGTATTTAAGTCCCGACTTCCATCTCCACTCCCACCTACCAAAAAATGAACCAACAAGGAAAATCGAAAGCAAACTACGGTTCAAGGTTACAGGACCTGTAAGTTACAGCAGAGTGAAAAATTCCAGGTCGCTTGTGTTGGCTATATTTAGTTTTATAAGCACTAAATAGCGACAGCAAAGCACTCGATCAGAAACCGGGAAAAAGGAATCTGACCATCTGGCAGGCAGAAGGAACCAGAGACGGGGGCTCACCGCCAAACCAAACTCCCATACAGCCAGCAGCCAGCAACCCTTCTGCGCAAAGTTAAAACTTCCCAACAGCAGCAGAAACAAGCTATAGGGGAGGAGACCGGAAGAGCCCCAAGGCACCAATGGGCAAACTGCTTCCAAAGTCGCTTCGCCGAAAATTCATTACCTGTCGCGAGGGAAACGAACCACGAACACAGCCGCCCTGCGCCCACGGTGATGCGCACGACTCTTGATTCCCTCAAATGCCGAATGCAAAAGAGCCTTCTCCTCTAAAGACACGTAAATGCACCGAGTCCGGCTATGCCTCGCCCCAAAATCCTTCCGGTCCCCCAACTCGGCAACCAGAGTGGAAAACTACTCTCGCAGCAGCACCCTCGCTGTTCATTACCTGCCGTTCCGCACGGGCGCCTGAGCCGGAGCCGGAGTACCGGCCACCGTTGCTGACTTCGGACGACATCCCGAGACCACCCTTCTCAAGGCCGTCTGACCAGTCCGAGCTGCCATGATAGACTCTCGGAAGCCGGTCGTCACCTCCCGGACCGGCCCAACGGCACCGCCCTCCTCTGGTCGGGCCCCACCGCCCGGCTCCGTAGTCTTCCAGCCAATCAGCTGGCCTCCTGCACAGCCAGACACGCCCCCTATTCCCTTCCGGGTTGCACAAGGCTGACGCACGCTCACCCTGCGTAGGGCTGACTGTAAATGTTCTCGTCAGCCTGTCAGCCAATCGGCTGGCCCCCTGGACAGCCAGACACGCCCCCTATTCCCTTCCGGGTTGCACAAGTCTGACGCACGCTTACCCTGCGTAGGGCTGAACAGTCAGCCTGCCAGCCAATCGGAGGAGAAGCGGGCCCGCCAGGACACGTCTCTCTGCCCAGACCGACCAATCGCCTTTTCCGCGCCTTCGCGCGCTTTGCGTAATACTCAGTGAATGCTCAGCCCACGTCCCGCGCTGGAACTGTTCCTGGATTAACCAACCGCCCTGGTTCTCCTGGGGTCCGCTTCCGGTTGGGAGACCTGTCACGTGAGGCCCGTCACGTGAGCCCCTCGGAGCGGGGAGCAGTGGAGAGCCCCACGGTTTGAGTATTAATTATGTAACTGTCCAAACCCATGAGTCCGGACTCAGGGACTCGCTCCTAGCTGCGAAGCTTGTCAGTCAACGTCCTGCTTATTAATGATTGTCTAATACAAAGCCTGCGTACCTACCTCATGGGGTAGTTGTGAGGGCAACATAAGGTCCTGTTATTAGGAAAGAGACTCAGTTAGCCAGCAGCATTTCGATCGGTCTTCTTCCTGAGTGAGCCACATTTTAATTGGTTTCTCGTATGGTTTGGGTTTCCCTTATTCCATACTAAACAGACCCATTCGCTTTGATTTACTTATTTCGGTGATCAGTCACGAAGTCCAGACTTCTTGTTCCCTCAGTTTGTCTGTTCTCAGGTCTTAAGATTTATACGCCAACAGTTGCCTGCAAAGTGTAAAGTGAGGATGGCAATACTAGTACTATTTAATACAGTTTGGGAACGGTAAATGAGAGTGTGGATTAAATATAGTCAGATATTTGTGTGGCACCTACTAGATGCTGGAGAAGTGAACAAAAGTCTTCTCTGTCACAGAGCTTATATTCTAGTGGGGGAAAGAAACCAATTAGTATATAATAAAATGGCAGCTTGTTACATGTCCCATAGACTAAACAGTAAAGCAGGGTAAGGAGAGGAAGAAGGGAGAGTGCTGTTTTATATAGGGTGGTCAGGAGAGGCTCTGAGAGGATGACACTGAACGAAGGCCTGAAATTAAGTTAGGATGTGAACTCTGATTACTTGGGAGGAAATGACCTTCTGATGTATGGAACAACTGCAGAGGCCCCAGGCAGGAACAATCTTGGCATGCTTTAGGAAGAGTAAGGAGTTTGGAGCACAGGGAGAGGCGGAAAGTGGTAGGAAATAGGTCAGAGAGGTAGGTAGAGCTTTATCCTAGTGCCATGGAAGCCACAGTATGCTACCAATTTTTGATTGTATTCTAGGCATGAAGGAAAGCCATTAGAAGTTGAGTGTAGAATAGTTTTACATTTAAAGCAATATTCCAGCAGTTGTGTATGTATGATTATTTTCTCCTCTTGCTTGGTTCATTGCAGTCTAGATACTTTGTGGAGTAAATCGAAATCATCAACTATGCTGTTTCTGTCATCTTTCCGTGCTGCCACAATGGTGCACATGAATGTCCTGGCTGATGCTCTCAAGAGCATCAACGATGCCGAAAAGAGAGGCAAATGCCAGGTGCTTATTAGGCCGTGCTCCAAAGTCATCTGTTTCTCACTGTGATGATGAAGCATAGTTATATTGGCGAATTTGAAATCATTGACGATCACAGAGCTGGGAAAATTGTTGTGAACCTCACAGGCAGGCTAAAGAAGTGTGGCGTGATCAGCCCCAGATTTGATGTGCAACTCAAAGATCTAGAAGTATGGCAGAATAATCTGCTTCCATCCCGCCAGTTTGGTTTCATTGTACTGACAACCTCAGCTGGCATCATGGACCATGAAGAGGCGAGACAAAAACACACAGGAGGGAAAATCCTGGAATTCTTTTTCTAGGGATGTAATACATATATTTACAAATAAAATGCTTCATGGACAAAAAAAAAAAAGAAATCAGCTACAAGGTTTGTCAAACATTTTTTCAGTACAACACATGATGTACTTGTAGATTGAGGTGGTTCTGTAGCTGCATGGCATTTCTGTATCAATTACTTTCAAATACACAATTCTTGCTCTTCTTTAAATCTTAAATATTTCCAGTATTCCAGTAAGGTCTTCTTTAAAGGACATTTTCACATTTCAGTAGCTCATGCCTGAAATCCCACCACTTTGGGATGCTGAGGCAGGAGGATTGCTTGAGGCCAGGAATTTGAGACCAGCCTGAGCCACATAGTGAGACCCCGTATCTACAAAAAAATTAAACAATTAGCAGCCGGGGACAGTGGCTCACACCTGTAATCCTAGCACTTTGGGAGGCCGAGGTGGGTGGATCACCTGAGGTCAGGAGTGCATGACCAGCCTGGCCATCATGGTGAAACCCCATCTTTAAAAGAAAAGAAAAAAAAAAATATATATATATATAAAATTAGCTGCGCATGGTGGTACACACCTGTAGTCCCACCTAGTAGGGAGGCTGAGGCAAGAGGATCACTTGATCCCAGGAAGTTTGAGATTGCACTGTGCTGTGATCATGTCACTACACTCCAGTCTGGGTGACAGAGTGAAACACTGACTCAACACCAAAAAGAAAAGAGCAAGTTAAATAACACCAAGGAGATACTATCTGCCAAGTCTAGATTATGGGAAATTCTATAGGACAAGTGACCCAGTTTCTTCAATGAGTAAATATCAAGTAAAAAAATGAAGGGGGGCGTGGTATGGTGGCTCACGCCTATCATCCCAGCAGTTTGGAAGGCCGAAGTGGGTGGATCACGAGGTCAAGAGATCGAGACCATCCGGGACAACAAGGTGAAGCCCCGTCGCTAGTAAAAATACAAAAATTAGCTGGGCATGGTGGCGTGCACCTGTAGTCCCAGCTACTTGGGAAGCTGAGGAAGGAGAATTGCTTGAACCCAGGAGGCGGAGGTTGTGGTGAGCTGAGATCACGCCATTGCACTACAGTCTGGGTAACAAGAGCAAAACTCCGTCTCAAAAAGGAAAAAAAAAAAAAAAAAAGGGAAGGGGAGGGTGAGACTGTTGTAGATTTAAAACATGTAAAAGACTTTTTGATTTTGTTTTGCGCAAGCTAAATACAAAAAGACATATATGAGACTAAGAAATTTGAAAGCTGGATACTAGATGATTTTAAGAAACATTAAAGGCTGGGTACAGTGGGCTTATGCCTGTAATCCCAGTACTTTGGGAGCCTGAGATGGGAGGATCACTTGAATCCAGGAGTTGGAGTCTCCAGTGAGCTAGGGTAGCACCACTGCACTCTATCCTGGGTGACAGAGTGAGACACTGTCCCTTAAAAAAAATTAAAAATTTTTTAAAAATTGTAGATGTAGTGACACCTACAATCTTTATCTCAGATATTTACACAGAAGTATTTACAGATGAAATATGATGTCTGTGCTTTGCTTTAAAATAACCCAATAGGCCGGGCGTGGTGGCTCAAGCCTGTAATCCCAGCACTTTGGGAGGCCGAGGCGGGTGGATCACGAGGTCAAGAGATCGAGACCATCCTGGTCAATAAGGTGAAACCCCGTCTCTACTAAAAATACAAAAATTAGCTGGGCATGGTGGCGCGTGCCTGTAGGCCCAGCTACTCAGGAGGCTGAGGGAGGAGAATTGCTTGAACCCAGGAGGCGGAGGTTGTGGTGAGCCGAGATCACGCCATTGCACTCCAGCCTGGGTAACAAGAGTGAAACTCTGTCTCAAGAAAAAGAAAGAAAGAAAAAAAATAACCCAATAGGTGTTGGGGATAGCGTGGATGAAGCAAAATTAAACATATATTGATAATCAATGAACTGAATGATAGTACAGGGGGGTTCTTCATAGTTTTATCTAGTTTTTGTGGATGTTTGAAATCTTCCATAATAAAACATTTTATCTATGCCTTTTTATTTTTGCCTCTGTGATCTTTCCAAATGAAATCCTTCTGATTGACTTCCACTTAGAATCACACTGTTTATTTATAGATTTTGCTCACTCTTCAGAACCCTATAGACTGAACAGAACCAGAAAGGCTTCACGTAGATAGAGATGGCAATGATTTCTAGTAGTAACAGCATTTTTTTCTTTTATTTTTATAAAAATATGGAGGCCGGGCGCGGTGGCTCACGCCTGTAATCCCAGCACTTTGGGAGGCCGAGGCGGGTGGATCACAAGGTCAAGAGATCGAGACCATCCTGGTCAACATGGTGAAATCCCGTCTCTACTAAAAATACAAAAAATTAGCTGGGCACGGTGGCACGTGCCTGTAATCCCAGCTACTCAGGAGGCTGAGGCAGGAGAATTGCCTGAACCCAGGAGGCGGAGGTTGCGGTGAGCCGAGATCGCGCCATTACATTCCAGCCTTGGTAACGAGAGCGAAACTCCGTCTCAAAAAAAAGGAACACTTCACAAATTTGAATGTCATTCTTGCAGAGGGACCATGCTGATCTTCTCTATGTTGGTCCGATTTTAGTATATGTGCTGCTGAAGTGAGCATAGTAACAGCATTTTTAGTCACTCCTCTAATCAAAACAAATATAGGATGAATTTTAGCCACAGAATATGATCTTTACCCCAACATCATATGTATTTTTTTCCTGAAATAAAGTTAGTTTTAAAAGTTAACATAATTGTATTACTGGCACCTTTTCTCTCTACCATGTGTGTGGTGGCTCAGGCCTGTTATGCCAGCACTTTGGAAGACCTAGGAGGGAGAATCACTTGAGGCCAGTGTGTGAGCACTGCTCAGTACCAAGCTTGGATTTTCTAATCTTTTCAGGCAGATTCGTGGGAAGAAAAACACCAGCCGAGGTATATAGAGTTTATTTACAAAGAAAGAAAAAGAGTTTATTTACAAGGATACCTAGAGACGCTCACAAACTTCAACACCGGCAGTAAAGCAGCACGGGTTTTCACAAGTCCAAACCAAATCACCATCGAAGCTCAGTTCGGCTTCTGCTAAACAATCTTTTATACTTTTTAAAACAAAGAAGGGTCAAGTCAGGACACTGTCCACGTCTT